ATGTGATTTATGTAATGTGTAGGGAACATGGAGAAAGTAAAACACCTAATAGAATTGCCAAATGCAAATGCAAACTTGACATTGTGGAAGGCAGACATGAACATACAAGGAAGCTATGATGAAGCAGTCCAAGGTTGTGAAGGGGTGTTTCACATGGCCACACCTATGGATTTTGAATCTAATGATCCTGAGGTATGTCCTTACCAGACAACTTTAATCGACTCTAACGACATTATGTTATCAAACAATGTGTCAAGACACAAGTTAATAGAATACACATTTGTTACAAATCTTTAAGAGCTAGCTAGCTAGTTGGTGCAGTAGATATATACAACACAAATCGACTCCCTCACCATGACTAAATCTGAGAATTACTTCCAAAAATGCGATATTACAGAATGAGGTTATAAAGCCAACAGTAGATGGTATGTTGAGCATAATAAGATCATGTGCCAAAGCCAAAACAGTGAAGAAATTGATCTTCACAAACTCAGCTGGGGCATTGAATGCCGAAGAACACCAAAAACCAGTCTACGACGAAACCAACTGGAGTGACCTGGATTTCATATACTCCAAGAAAATGACTGGATGGGTTAGTTCTTGTCTTCCCTCCCAATTTTCTCGTTCAGACATCATATTTGAATCAGATGATTCTATTCATCGTTTTAAAATTTTCGGTAATCCTCTTTTCGTGCAGATGTATTTTGTGTCCAAGATTTTGGCTGAGAAGGAAGCAATGAAGGCAGCTAAAGAGAGCAACATTAACTTCATAAGCATTATACCAACTGTGGTAGTTGGTCCATTTATCATGCCCACCTTACCACCTAGCCTAATCACTGCACTTTCCCCCATCACTGGTAATTTTCCTATGGATAATTCAAGGAAAAAAAAGTCCACCACTTGACATATGTAAAAGTATTTTTTCACCCTTCCCTTAATCTTATACCAGGAAATGAAGCTCATTACTCTATCATAAAGCAATGTCAGTTTGTGCATGTCGATGATTTGTGTGAGGCCCACATTTTAATGTTTGAGCATCCAACAGCACAAGGAAGATACATTTGCTCTTCCGATGATGCAACCATATATGACCTAGCAAACATGATCAGAGAAAAATGGCCCGAATATCACATCCCAACCGAGTAAAACTCTCAATTTACTATACTTCCATCTCCTTCATGATTTTATGTATGTACACACAAGTATATCCTACACAAGAACACACGGGACACTCTAGCTAGTCCAGTTTGCAGAAATTTTCTATTGTATTAATGAAAATAATTGCATGCATGGACAGGTTTGAAGGCATAGACAAGGACATACCATTGGTGCATTTCTCTTCCGAGAAACTGAAGGCCACGGGATTTTCGTTCAAGTACACGTTAGAGGACATGTACAGAGGTGCAATCGAGACTTGTAGAGCAAAAGGTTTGCTCCCACATTCAACTCAAATTCACACCTATAGCGATGAGAAGGCCAAACCCAATGATCAAGGGAGAAAGCTAATTCCAACTTTGCAAGAAAACTATTCTAAAATCCTAACTAATGGAGACGAGGAGAAGAATCTGCTTCCAAATTCAAAGGGAAAGGAGGTTGGGGAATGAGAGAATGGCCTGCTGTTGGACATTGCATACAACCAACACTCGGGATCTGGAAGATGGAGATAATCGTGATATTTTTTCGACCGAAAAGCTCATTCTTATACCCATTTTGCGGTAATTGTCAAATCAAACAGTAATTCTTCTCCAGCCGAATAAACTCATTCCCAAATCCAAAAGAACATTCTCAAATACTCTTTCATAGCAAGTTTTATAACTTTTCAATACCACTCACCTGTTTAACAACTTTACACATTAGACCCAATATTATTTTATATTTTATTTCAAAAAACATATAATAATTTATTATAGATTGATAATTCGTACATATACAAAATATTGGAATACATATTTGTTCAATAAGGCAAAATTATATTCTCCATAACTTTGCATTGTCTTCTATACTTCACAGATGTCTGTGGAGTACTCAGACGAGTCTGGAATTACTACTTTCCAGCTCAACAAGTTAGTATGACTCATCCTTCAATATGATTCAGATGCACACTTTCTTAATCATTTAATAAGTTTGTTTGTATCAACTGGTTTACCTATAGGGCATATATGTGATACTTCTTTTATTTTTGATAGTAGTGATTTTATCTACTCCTGCCATAACTTGCTCAACATAAGGGTCATCCCAGTGGACAACCATTTGTTCAATAACTTTGCACTGTCTTCTATACTTCACGGATGTCTGTGGAACTTAGACGAGTCTAGAATTACTACTTTCCAGCTCAACAAGTTATTATGACTCATCCTTCAATATGATTCAATGAACTCTTTCTTAATCATTTAATAAGTCTGTTTGTATCAACTAGTTTACCTATAGGGCATCCATGTGATACTTTTATTTTTGATAGTAGTGATTTTATCTACTCCTGCCATAACTTGCTCAACATAAGGGTCATCCCAGTGGACAACCATTTGTTGCTGTTCTTGTTCGCACATCTTCAATATTTGAAAATACCTTGTATAGTGTACAAAATTTGAAATATTTTCACTATCTATTCTTTAAAATTTATCATTCTAAGTTTAATTACCATATAATAAATAGATCTAAGAGTTCATAATAAAACATAGGCTGTGATACCATCTAGGTCACAATTAAATTCAGCTTTTCAAACCTTTTAAAACATAAAATTTTACTAAATATTACCCATAGCAATTAGGGGTTCGCCACTAACCATTAAAATGACAGCTTAATTGCACATAAAATCCTCACCATTTGTGTAATTGCAAATAAAACTCAAAGTTTTTATCTTTGCAAATAAATACCAAACCTTTATTATGTGTTGCAAATTTGTCTCAAAATTATTTTCCGGCCAATTTTGGTGACGTGTCCGATCAGAACACTAAAATCGCCTAAAAATCACTCGAAAATCGCTCCCTCTGCCCAATTTTTCAGAATTTTGGGGTGAGCTCGTAAATGTATTTGGAATGTTGGGGTGAACTCGATTTATGGGGGGCAAAGAATCGCACCATGGAGAAGAGAAGAATCGCTACAAATATTTTTTTTTTCAATTGGGTGAAAAGAACTCAATTTTTATAAAGATTATGGAGCAAAAAAATGGTGATGAAATCCTATTTTTTCAATTGGTACTATACTTTAATTTTGGTTAATTTGTTGGCACATGATGTGGCAAAAATATGGTGAGGAGTTTCAAAGATTGATGCCACACAATCCTCATAAGTGCCACGTAAGATTTTTGATCGGACACGTCAACAAGGATTGGCTGAAAAATGGGTTTGAAACAAATTTGCAATACATAATAAAAGTTTGGTATTTATTTGCAAAGATGAAAATGTTGATTTTTATTTGCAATTACACAAAAGTGAGAATTTTAGGTGCAATTAAGCCTAAAATGACACTTGCCAAGAATTGTATGGGTATGGGAGCCACCCATACGGGTGGCATGAACTTAACCGAATAATTGTGCATCCAAAAGTTCAAACTTCAAAGGTCTTTTCAGGCTGTAGTGTGGGATAAGCAATTGAATTGCCCATTTCTTCTTCACTCAATGAGGAAAATAAAGAATGCTCTAAGAAATTTTGATGGGGATCAACATAAAATATGACCTACCATATTTAGTAGAGCAAACGACTCCAACAAGGAGGTAACTAACCAAGCTCAAAAAAAGTACCCCTCTCCAGTATACATGGAAGAACAAAAATGTGTCAGAAGTCAAAACATACAGGAGGTACCAATTTCAACATATAAAAATAAAGTTTGATTATATTGTAATTATATTTTATATTTATACAGATTTCTTCCGTGATCTAATACTTTTTAAATATCTTCAACTTTATAATATTCAACAATTTAAAGTATAATGTGTATGAGTGTAATATTTTAAACATTGTGAAATATTTTTTAATTCTAATTATAATATTTATTTACTTTTTTTTTTCACGATCGCAATGTTCAATTTCTATGTTGTCTTTATTTAAGTCGAAACATAAACTTTCAGAATATTTTTTATACTAATTTGATGTTCATACTTAGTTTATATATTTTCTGTTCAAATAAAATAACTATATTATGTTATGCAAATAAATTTATATTGCATTAACAATAATATACAATTTTATTTGATATATTTTAATTTAGTTTGATAAATAATTTTATATTTTATTTATAAGGATACATACCACTATTTTGTATTTTATATATATAATATAGATGTCAAAATTAAAGATCGTTAAAAGATTAATAATATGATATATCATATATGAAAAATGAAATACAAACCAAAAAGTAATAAAATTTTAAAAATAAGAAAAATAAACATTTATAATAATTGATGTATGTTTCGAGAGACTAATGTAGGTTTCGAGAGAGTGCACGGAGGGTTTGGGTATGGTAGTAGGAACGAAGGGGGGAGGATCTGTTGGACTTTGCGATGGCCTACGACTTGTTGATAGCGAACACCCTCTTTAGGAAGAGGAAATCTCACCTAGTGACCTTCCATAGTGGACGACACTCAAGTCAGATCGACTTTATCCTTGCACGGAGGGAGGATAGACGCGCTTGCGTAGATTGCAAGGTGATACCTGGGGAGTGTGCTATTCCTCAGCATAAGCTGGTGGTGGCGGACTTTCAATTCTGAATTTGTGTCCATCGGGACAAACGTGCCAAGACCATGAGAAAGAAGTGGTGGAAGCTTAAAGGGGAAGCGGCGCAGACGTTTAGAGATAGGTTGCTACGCGAGGGGCCTTGGGAAGAAGGAGAAGATGCATATGACATGTGGCTAAATATGACAACATGTGTAGGGAAGGTGACTGCAGAAGTACTTGGTGTGAGTAGGGGAGGCAAGCAGGAAGCGAAAGACACTTGGTGGTGGAATGACGAGGTGCAAAGGGCTATTCAAGAGAAGAAGGAGTGCTTCAAGCGTCTCTACCTTGACAAGAGTGCAACCAACATTGAGAGCTATAAAATAGCAAGGAGGGTTGCAAAGCGTGCCGTGAGTGTAGCGAAGGGTCAGGCCTATGATGACCTTTATCAGCGCCTAGGCACGAAGGACGGGGGAAATACATTTATAGGATGGCTAGGATTCGAGAAAGGAAGACAAGGGACATCAACCAAATCAAATGCATCAAGGATGGGTCGGATCGGCCACTAGTGAAGGATGGGGAGATCAAGGACAGATGGCGAGAGACTTCGACAAATTGTTTAACGGAGAGATTGAGGGTCCTACCCTGGAGTTGGATGACTCATTTGAGGGTACCAATAGACGCTTGGTGAGGAGAATTCGGGAGGCAAAGATCGGAGAGGCTATGAAGAGGATGAAGGGAGGTAAAGCAATGGGCCCTGATGGTATCCCCATTGAAGTGTGGAGATGCTTGGGCGCCAGAGCGTTAGTATGGCTAACTAAGCTTTTTAACTTTATTTTCCTGTCAAACAAGATGCCTGATGAATGGAGGAGAAGTACTTTAGTACCGATCTTCAAGAACAAGGGAGATGTTCAATCTACCGTGGGATTAAGTTGATGAGCCATACGATGAAGCTCTGGAAGAGGGTTATCGAGCATCGCCTACGACGAGTGACGAGTGTGACCCAAAATCAATTTGGGTTTATGCCTGGAAGGTCGACCATGGAGGCGATTTTCCTAAAACGGCAGTTGATGGAGAGATATAGGGACCAAAAGAAGGACTTGCACATGGTCTTTATCGACCTTGAGAAGGCCTATGACAGAGTACCGATGAATGTCATGTGGTGGGCCTTAGAAAAGCACAAAGTCCCATCTAAGTACATTACCCTCATCAAGGATATGTACAAGGATGCGATGACGTGTGTCCGAACATGTGGGGGCGATACCAGCAACTTCCCTATTAAAATAAGACTACACCAGGGATCAGCATTGAGCCCTTATTTATTTGCCTTGGTGATGGATGAGGCCACAAGGAACATACAAGGTGATATCCCTTGGTGTATGCTCTTTGCTGATGATGTGGTGCTAGTTGACGAGAGTAGGGCAGGGGTAAATAGGAAGTTAGAGCTGTGGAAGGACACGTTAGAGTCGAAAGGCTTCAGACTTAGTAGGACGAAGACCGAGTACATGACGTGCACTTTCAGCATGGCTGCACATGATGATGGTGACGTTAGCCTTGACGGGCAAGTGGTGGCCAAGAAGAAGACTTTTCGGTATTTAGGATCGATGCTACAAAAGGATGACGGCATTGATGAAGATGTTAGGCATAGAATTGCAGCCGGTTGGTTGAAATGACGTCAAGCTTCGGGCGTTATCTGTGATAAGAGGGTGCCACAAAGGCTAAAAGGTAAGTTCTATAGGACGGTGATTCGCCCGGCGATGCTATACAGTGCTGAATGTTGGCCTACAAAAAGGCAACATGTCCAACAACTAAGTGTAGCAGAGATGCGTATGTTGCGTTGGTTTTGCGGGCACACAAGAAGGGATAGAATCCAAAATGAGGATATTCGAGATAGGGTCGGGGTGGCTCCAATAGAGGAGAAATTGGTTCAACATCGGCTGAGGTGGTTCGAACATGTCCAACGGAGGCCTCCTGATGCACCGGTGCGTAGGGGAGTTCTACAGCGGGTCGATGATGTAAAGAGAGGCAGAGGTCGGCCTAAAATTACTTGGGAAGAGTCGGTTAAGAGAGACCTTAAAGATTGAAATATCTCCAAGGATTTAGCGGTGGATAGGAGCGCTTGGAGGCTAGCAATCAACGTGCCAGAACCGTGACTTTTGCTCCTTTCTCTTTTGCTCCAATCTGTTCCTTTTGTTTTAAGCCCTTTTTGTGTTTCTCTTACCATTGGTTCTCTTGGGTTTCATCTCTAGCCTACCCCAACTTGATTGGGACTAAAAGGCTATGTTGTTGTTGTTGTTGATGTATGAATTAAATAATAAAATGAAATATAATATTTGGTAATATAGGAACAATAAGCTGAAAATAGTTTATACTTTATAATAACTAATTGTACAAGAAAAAGAGAAAGAGATCAATTAAGATTTAATGTGAATAATATAGACATTAAATGTAATTCAAACCTACTTATTTTTGTTTAAAAAATACTAGTATTCGATTCTGTGCACATGCATAGATGCAAATAAAATTTTATATGTTATATGTGTGTGTATGCAATAGTTAAAATAATAAGTAAGATCGCACTTTATAGATTTTAGCATTAGTAAAAATTAGTGATATAAATATATATTATTTAGCTTACATATTAATTTTTATATTAATCGCAATAATATAAGTGTTGCAATCTTGGTTGATTATGACCAGCTACTTAGATAATATAATATCAAAATTATCATTATACCAATTTTGTATGAAATTTTAAAGGGTTTGTTTGTGGCATAAAAAAATAATTAACAAATTTTAATCAAAATCTTGTTTAATGAACTAAAAAAGAAATAGTAGTTTAAATAAATACTTTTAAACAAAAATTAGAATAGAATATCATTTAAAATAAATAAAAATATATAATTACTTTATTAATCAAAATATAACGAAAAATAAAGAAAAAATGAAAACAATTATTCATAATATTTTTTTCAACAATTATATAGGTATATAATATATAAATTTTTTCAAAAACAAAACAAAGAGAAAAAAGATCTACGAATAGAAAGATAAAGCAAAATCTTTTTAAAAGCGTTACAGCCCAATTGTTTGACATAAATTTTGGGCTGAAATTATGGTGTCAAATGATTATATATTGTTGATTTATTTTAGCAAATTAAGAAATGACATTAAAAAGGTGCAACAACTAAGGTGGAAATAAGAAAATTGAATTTGCTAATGGTAGTAACATAGGATTTGAGTGTGAAATCAAATAATTAATATATACACACATATATACGAATGTATGTTAAAAAATGTTACAAAAATACTGTAAAATGATTATTCACAGATAAAAAAATTTTGGGCACAATTTAATGTGTCAATTGATTACTTATTCTCGTTTTTATTTTGTCAAGTGAAGAATATTACATTAAAAGTAACAATTTTGTTGGAGAATGATTTATGTTACACATATAGTTGATCAAGACTTCTTTTTTTGCGTACTTATATATTGTGTATTACATATATTTGTTGTTACGATCCATGTACACATTATTCATTGGAAGAGATAACTGGAGATTTTTTTTATTTGTATTTTAGTTGATTTTGTATTTTGTTTGTATTGTAATATTAATGTATAATTCCTTTATACATTTTCATAACAGAAAAGAAAAATCTGAAAGTAACAAATTAGTTTTTTATTAAATTAAATGGTCGGATTAAACTTGCTAACATATGATTTTAAACCAAGAATTAAAAATAAAATAAAATATAGGTTAAGTGGGTCATAAAATGCAAATGACTAAAACTATGTAAGAAGATTAAAAATTATATTACATATAAAAGTTAAATAATATGAATTGTAACATTTAGATAAAAGTGGAATAAAGTGGAAAGAAAAAAAATATTAATGATATCATTTTGTAATGTCTTTTGACGGTAAGCAGAAATATTTTTATTAATTGCATTGCTAGCAATTATATACATATATAGATTAATTTATATCCAAGTCTGACTCCAAAACATGATTTTTGCCACATAGAATTTCAAACGTGAGAACATGCCACTTAAACTCAACGCATTCTAAAAATTATATGTAGGGTGGATATCTCTATATATATATATATATATAATTGATGGCTCATGAGTATTTAATAAAACCTATTAAATTATACCTATGTGGCAATATAACTTTTTCCCTCAAAAAACTGTTACTTTTTATTTATTTAACCTCTCATTTAATTATTAGATAATCAACACACTAATCACTTCAAAATTACAAAAATTATTTTAAACTTTTAATTTACTTACAGCTGACCATATAATGTGTTGACTATTTAACGTGATTAGATGTTATTGTTGTGGTTACATTTAATTTAACTTCTTTTAGAAAATAAAAAACGTATTTGAAATTCCTAAATAAATAATAAATAATTCACAAAAAAATATATACCAAAATATACATTCCATCCAATATAATAAACACAATTTAACAAAATAGTATATTTCAGCTCCTTTAATTATAAATTTGGAAAGTGCAAGAAAAATTATTAATCATTATATGCATACAAATAACTCACAATACTTTATTTATATATGTGCATTTGCAAAGGTCGAATACTAGTGTATATAGATAGTAGAGGAGTGAGCGAGGCATTTTATATTCAACCAAAGGCAAAAGTATATCATTTCCTAATATTAGCTAGCAATCTATCTCGAGTTTCAAAATATAGATAGTCACATAAATTTAACGAGGGAGCCATTTTTTCAAACTGGTAATTTATGATTACAATTCTGAAAACTTTGTTCTCAAATCAATTCCCCATTCAACTTTGTTCTCAAATTTCCTGACCTTAGCTGCTTCCTCAAGAATATAGGTTATTCTGTGGAACTTGGATTTTGCAACCATTTCAAGTCTTTGGAGGGCAGTTTTGTCAATGAATTTGGTCATGAACTCCATATCATCATAGCAATGGTCAAGTAACCACTGGCAAAGGAATCTCACATATGCCTCTGCGCAGTTCATATCGTCCTACAAACAACAGTAGAAAGCTTCTCAGTTCTCATATTTAAATGGTTACTATTATGTTCAACAAAAAAAATATAATAACATGTTCTATAATAGCCACAAATATTTCACAACTAGCACACCTGTATATCGGCAAATGCTATTTCAGGCTCAACCATCCAAAATTCAGCAAGATGTCTGCAAGTGTGGGAGTTTTCTGCACGAAATGTTGGACCAAAGGTATACACACTACTGAGGGCACATGCATATGTTTCTACCTGCAGTTGTCCTGACACAGTCAAAAACGCTTGCCTAGCAAAAAAGTCAGTCCTCTGCATAATCAATTTTCCCGTCCTTCTTGGGAAAACCACCACCAAGTCTACGTCTCTCAGCAAGCTTACACCTCTCATCTAACTTCGCAAGGTTCTCTTTGGCCTTAGTGAGTTCAGCAACGGCCACAGCAATCTCTTGCTTGCTTGCCTTAGCAGACTTTAGCTGGGCCACTGCTTCTCCTTTCTCCTTGACAACAAGCTTGGCAGCCTCTGTGTCAGTTTCAGATCCTTCTCTAACTTCTCCACATCACTGATAATGGTTGTGACTTGAAACATCTCACCAGCACCTTCACAATCACTAGTCGTGATAACCATATCTCAGTAAAATAAAAAGTAGGAACAGACATATGCACGACACTTCTTTATCCTAAGCATTTGTAAAAGAGATTGAACCACATGCTGTTAAACAAAATCAATTTCATCGCACAATATGAACTCAAAAAAGAAAAAAGAAAAAATGATGAGTAGCATCTGACAATGAACCTCACCACTTGAAAATACCCAAACGGTTATAGAATTTAGTAGGAACTAGTATCCAGTGAAGGAAATGATAACTGAATACCAGTATCACACTCATCCAGTGCTAACGAAAAGATTACCATCAGCACCATTATATTGCCTACAAGGAAGTCCTCATCTCTTATCTAAAGCCAAAAAGAAGTTGAAAGAATAGGCTTTCTGATATTCCAAATGATCCACATTTCCTTTGCTAAATCCAGGTCTGCATATACAGCATCCATGAAAACTATCTAACTTATCATTAACTTTTTTAACATTACTACCATCATAATACAAATTTTCCACTGAATTTGGTTAGTAATCCAATCAACAAGCATCAATTCGCAAGATAAGATAATTAAACTCCAAATAACATTTCCAAATGACACCACAGAACCTCAAATTCAAGTGCATTTCTGGAATGACATCACTCTTATTATATCCAAGCGTACACCAAATGCATAAGCTCACACACACATGCACAGGCACATCCAGTATAGGAAAAGGGAGCAAGAGAAAAATTCTCACAGTGTTGGTCCTGGGGCGAAGGTGCACGACATCCCTGAGAAACTCGAGGGTCAATTTCGTCTTGGGCAACGGATACTTTTGTTGGGAAAAATACGCTGAAATTTCTATGAAGTCGGATCTATAAAAGTGATAATAAAAATAAAAATTGGACACGCCAAATTGATAACGAAGTTCGGCCAATAATGCCTACGTCTCCGGACTACTGCAGATATTTTATTAGGGAAAAATTACACTTCTGTTTACAAAACACTCTCAAATTCACTCACAACTCACAACTCAAAAATACACACAAAGGCTAAATTATTTTAGCTCACTCTCTCTCCTTTTTCTTCTTGAATTTTGTTGTATTTTTGGTGTGTTTTTTTGCTCATCAAAATCCATCTCTATTTATATAGATGGAAAATGCACATATTTTTTCACATTTGTGTACTCAATTTTTTTAACAAAACGTGGCTTTCAATATTTGGTGGCTTTCAACATTTGATGGCTTAATTGTGAATGCTCCATATTTTCAACCAGTAGCAGTCATGATGCAATTGGGTTGCTCATTTTGTCAAAACTTGTGGATTAACAACTTTGCCGCGTCTACAGTCCCGACATCAATGACCCTCTCCACCTCCAGCTAGATGCTTTGCTTCACCCCCTCCGGCGGCGACTTGAGCAAGCCCTCGACGTGCACGCAGGTGCCAGTTGCAACGACTTCTCTTAGCCTGTAGACCTCGGATTTGACAATGACCTACAGGTTCCCCGGGCACGAGCCCAGGGACGTAGCCATATAAGGGCCAGTGTGGGCCTAGGCCCACACTGGAGAAAAAAAATACATCTTATATATCCTACTTAAAAAATTGTTTAATAATTCATTAATAAAATAAAAAAAAAAAACAATGAAAACTCAAAGAAGGTAAATAATGGGCAAAAGATAGTGAATGGCCAAAAGAAAAAGATAATGGGCAAAAAAATCATTGTTCTTATTGATTTTGGTGAAAGTAAATATAGTCTTTTTTTATTAGATTTGATATAAAAATTAAAAATTTAAACTTATAACTAATTGAATGTTGTTTCTTAAATGACTATTAACATATTTAAATTTGTGTGCGACTGATAAGTTGAGGGCTCTTTAAAAGTTTGATATATTAGATAAACATTTTATACATTATAATTTATTTTTTATATCAAATTATAGAGAAATGTTTTTATAAATAGTCTCGACCGAAAAGTGCATGTGAAAATATTTCAAAATTAGCTACTTTTAGTCTAAATATACTTGAAATGAATTATACATTTTTAGGCCGAAATAAAATGTAAAGATCTTATTGTAGATTCATACCAAACTATAAAAACTGATAAGAATTCATAAAAAATTCTATGACTGTGTATTTTTGCAATGCTTTGTTATGATGTATTATCTCTCCTATTCATAATGAGTATCGTTTTGAGAAGTTGCACAATAATTAAGAATTTTTTCTGCCAATAAGAACCCTCATTAATGAATATAGAGATGAATGTTTTGAGAAAAGATGAAGAGTGAATATGAGAAGACGTAGTGTATCTATTAGGTAAGGGAAAAATATGTACATAAGATCCAAAATGTCATTTATTTGGTTAATGGTTGATAAAGTCAAAATGACATTTAAAAATAATAGTAGGTAGTATTGGTTTTCTAGAAACAAGTAGGCCCCCACTGATTTAATGAGCTAGATCCGCCCCTGCACGAGCCGTTGTTGAGCTCCAGAAATGTGAACCTGCCTTTGTCCACCTCGCGTCCGGTCTTCACCCATCCTCCGATCCGGAGCTTTTGACCGGCCAACCCGGCGCCCTTGTCGGGTCTACCCAAAATGGATTGGATTAGGACGCGCTGGGAAAACTGCGACTCCTGTACGGCGTCGCGCAGGCTGAGGCCATCCAGCGCCGGTGGCGTAGAATCCGACGACATTTTGTTCCGCCTTTGGAGAGTGAGTTACTGCTCACTGGACATCCACGTGGCTATTAAACCCTAAAATTGTAGGTTGGCTGAATAAACAAGAGAGGATCTCCAATCCGTAAATCCTGGACGTCTGGCTTAAAATGTTATAAGCAACAGGATGCCGACACGTGGAACGATGGCTCTTCCTCACTCGTCAAACTGTAGTTGATTATGGTTTTAAACTAAAACTAATAATCATACTGTCCATTTACATAGAGACAAATTCATAGAAAAAAATAAAAAAATAAGAAAAATAAAAATACTAAATCATAATTTAATTCAAAAACAATATTAATTAAGAAAAGAATTTTAAATATTATTAAAAACTTTTTTATATACAACATTTATGATACCATATCGTTAGAGTCTCCTATTGCCACATATCATCATCTTTAAACAATTTCGATTTGTAACTCTAAAAAGAGCCACGTACAACTGCCATGACTAAAAACATGGTTCTTCAGTACTAAGTCAATGTGTGACAGAAGTTGGCAATGACTCATATTGATCGTCATAGCATGGAAACCATGATAGAAAACAGAAAAAGCTTGACGATGAAAGTTGAGAACGAAATTGGAAAATAGGAGACTATTAGTACAAAAATAAAAATAATATTAAACAATGTTTAATGGTGGACTTATTGCCAATATAAATTTATTAGAAACTGTATTAAAAAGTTAAAAAAAAAAAAAAAAAGATGAATTTTAAAGTAGTTATTGTATAAAATACTTAAAATTACCGTTGGTGAGTTCGTTAACAGACTTTTTTGGGATCTCGTTTTCCTCGTCGTCCATTGTAAGGTCATACAGAGGAACCAAGCCGCTCAAGAAGCATTAGTAATGTCAATTAAGGAACTATTTCGAGACAAACTTTGAGAATTTGCGAATGCAAAACCTAACAATCCAAAAAATAATTAATAATAATATAGTCAATTTAATAACCACACAATAAGAATAATGAACAATATTCTAATCATACACTCACTTATTTTTGGTAAAAATCAAATATGGTGCTATATATAAAATAGAGTCGATTTTATTGGTTTGATCAATTATTGTTGACTGCCTTTTTTTTTAAATGTGCTTAAAATCTTTATCTTCGTGACTGCCCGTGTCGCCCCACGTCCAGCAGCCGCATCCCGCACCTGCCCGCGCCCAGACAAGTCCAGTGGCCACCAGCCGGCCCTCAGGCGCTCCCAGCACCACCAACCGCGGTCCAACAGCCGCGCTCCGCGCCCAGCGCACTCAGGTGAACCCGCCAGCGCCCAGACCAGCCCAGCTGCACCAGGTACGCACCCAGCACGCACCCGTACCGAGCCGCGTCGAACTTTTCGTTTTTTCTGAACCGTTTGACTTATTTTTTACCTGTTGACCCCGTTTTCCATTCCGAGTCAATTTTTAATGCTTTTAAATGATTTTTTCGAGTTTAGCCTTCAAATGCAAGTGTTCCAAATTTTCAAAAAATTCTACGAACTACTTAGTCGATAATGTTCGACTAAGCATGGATTCTCGTGATTAATTCTAAGAGTCAAGATAATGTATTGATGAGATTATCTTGATTAAATGTAGGTGTCTGACGAGCCGAGCTCTCAACCTACTCTGCTGATTGAGCAACTTTCTGCCTTAATTGTCCAGGTGGGTTTATTAAATATCTATGCCTTAAATTCTTTATGATTGTTAGATGGTATGACCAATGCTTGCGTGTGAACCATGTAACCTTCGATGTGTGCTGTTACGACCTTCGAAACAGTTATCCCTGTCGTCGTCTGCGGTTATCGACCTTCGACGGTGCCTAATGATAGGCAGTTTCCCTTAGCCTAATGACAGGTCATGTCGTTGTGTGCGGTTATCGACCTTCAGTGGCTTTTATAGGTGTGCATATGAATATTATATGATGATTATGAGATATGATAAATTATTGATTCATGTTCATGCTGTGACCATACTATCTGCCATTATACTTGATTTATGTGCACAGTAGTGGGCTAGTGGTTTGCTCTCCCCCATGTCCCCCACCACCCCAATTTCAGGTTAAGCAGGTGGCAGGCATGGCGATAGAAGACAAGTGGCTGGTCATTGCATGATATTGATATGACTGATTTATGCTTCCGCATTATTGATGAACTTGTTTTGGTATTTTTCAAACCTGATGATGTTTTGATATTGATGACTAGTTTTTTAGCCTGATGAATTGGTTTTGAAACTTATGATGATACGTTGAACCTAATGGCTTGGTTTGAACCCGATGATGATTATGTCATGATGAAATGTCTATGATGATGATTATGTTATGATGAAAATGATTATGATGATTTGGATAATGAGATCCTATGTGCAAAATTGGGTAATGAATTTCCATATGTTCGGACATGACTTGAACTGTAATGTGAAAATGAATGAATAACGCCAATAAATGTTTTAAATCAAAAAATGAATTACGAAAATTTAACCTTGATTTTTGGAAAAGTCCGAAATTTTCTTTAAAAATCAACGGGGCATTACAGTAATGCATGTTTATCTCATCCAACGATGTTTTGTTATCCCCTTCAGCAGACGTTTGATAAAATGATGTCACCATACTATCGTGGCCTTTTTTGACATATTTGAAAAGGTGTTTTATAGATCATGATTTCTTTCACCACTCAACATTGATATGAGATCCAAACTTCATAAATAGATGACAATTATGAGGCACGACATATCCGTTGTGTAAAACAATACCATTTTTAATACAACTTCTATCATCACGACGTCTATACCGTGGATAAACATCTTCGTCAACTGTGGTGGACTCAACTAACCTTTTTGTATATTGTGTAGTGCATTTGCCATCCACCATGCACAACTATTCTTTGTTTGACATGCCACATGGTCAATGGAACTTATGTTCTTTTTGTTATGGTATACTGTAAAAGCTTGGCTTTCGTTTTCTAACAATACCATTTTGTATAAAGATCATCTTTTAGTCAAGTACATGTTTGCAGTTTATTTATTTATGCGAACATAGTTCCTTTATTTTACAATGTAGATAATATGGTTCGATGTGTGGAATAGAAAAATTATATTATCGGTGCCTTGTAAAATATAAATTAATTGTTCACAGCCCATACATTATTGAACTAACTGTCGTGAAAGGTTGTAGTGTGATTTTCAATCAGTTGTCTTTGACTGATGATATACACTAGTACATCTCAGATGTCTTGAACGGACCTACGGAGGATAAGATTACTTTGTACTGACCAAGTAAATTATCTAGACCTAAGTAACTGGTGTGTTTCCTAACCCATAAGTTAATATAAACATGCATATGTGTTCAGAACCTGTTTATTTGATTTACCATGGTTGAGTCTTATATTGGTAGACCAACACACTCCGTATTTTGGTATGTAAGGGCCGAGTACATGATGCGATATAGAGAATATTTACGGTAACCGTGTCCTGGTTTGCTAGGTTGATAACATCCTCGAAATCAGCTCAGGAATGTTTATTATGTTAAGCCCTGCAGACGGAATTTGTTTCTGACATAATAAGAATGAACTGAGTGGTACTGGTTTCAGATGGAGATGTTGATTAATTAAATTATCAGTAATTAAATTAATCAACGAACGTTAGATCTTAAACATGGAGAGGTAATTTGAGCAATTAGCCAAGAACGAACTATTTGTAATTCGGCTCTAAATGGGGAGTTGAATAACATTATTATGGTAACGATTAATATTATTCGAGTATGTGCGGAGTGGGATTTGACCCACAGTTAGGCCCTACTTAGGGAGTCCATATTTTTCACCTACTAAGGGTCTCTATTGTAGCCTATATATCCACCAACTACTTAGCCTCTTCTTTCGGAATTCACTCCACTTCTTGAGTTCTTAAGCTAGAATTTGCCGAAAACTAGTGCAAGGGAAAGAAAGAAAAACATACATCATTTTAGTTATAAGCTAACTATTGATCAGTAGTTTTTTAATTATTGACCGAAATTCGACTGTTTTATTTTCATAAGATTTATTTGTTAGTTGCAAGCTTTCAAAGGACACCTCTCAATAAAAAATCGGATATCTTGATCATCAGAAAAGTTGAATTGAAGTGTTTTTTTTTTTCTCACACATGTTTATTCATAGTTTTTATTTGGTATATTGGGATTTTTTTTCTTGTTGAAGAATAATTTGACAAAGGAGCATTTTGTTTTATTTTTTTGTTATTTTGGTGTATCAGGAGATTATTGCAACATATACTGAATATATACTAAATATAAACGAAATATTACTACACATTCAAAAAACCTGAGAGCTGAAAAAAATTATTAAATATAAAAGCAACGTATAGTTCACTATCAACTCCAATTCACTGTCAGGGTTTATATTCAGTATGTTTTCGGCATATACTGCAGTTTCTACCATATCTTCAGTTACTTTCCTCGCGAAAGACAAGGAATTTATGTTGCAGTTTTAATGATTTTTTTTTTGGTATATTTTGTGTAACCTGTTCTTGAGCATAAATTTGATCGAACTCTCTTGTTTTTGTGTTGTGATGATGGTTAAAATTCTAATTCAAATTTCATATCTTTCCAAATATTAGGCAAAGCATTTTTGTGTAATATTCATTCCATAATCTGCAAGCAATTTTTTTTTAAAGTAACTGAACGAAAATCACGCGAAAGAGAAGGGGGTAAAGGTTAGCATAATATAGTAATTAATTTTAGGCATCTATTACTATATAATAGCAATAAGAAAAAATCAAAAAATAGCATGAAGATTGCCGCCCAAAAAAATTCGTTTTCACTATTATTGGTAAAAATTTTCAAAATTTTTCATTAATCCCGCCTTTGACAAGTTTTTTAAATTTTAGAAAAAGTCAATGCGTAAAATCCGGCCAAATCAACTAAATTAGGATAATAAGTTTGAAAATTTATGTAAATCTCCTTAAAGTTTGGAAAATTGTTTTGTTCATATTTATATACATATAATCGTACTT